AAAAATTTTTTTTAAAAATTTTTTTTTTTTTTTAATTTTTTTTTTTTTTTTTTTTTTTTTTTTTTTTTTCTTTTTTTTGTACTTATAAATTTTTCTATTATTTAAACAGATAAAAATGAAGTATTAAATAAAATTATGAAGAACATATAATTTTTTATTCAAAAATTTAAACATATATATATGTATATATATTCATATCTTATTTTTTTACAATTTTATATTTATCTATTAAAAAATATTTGCATTTATAAAATTATATTATCAGCAAGAAAAGTTGAAAATTAACAGAAGTAAAAAAAAAAAAAATAAAGAAAAAATAAATAAGAATAAACAGATGGGAAGAAGGATTAATGAATTACACAATTTAAGAGATAACACATCAGAAAAAGGTATAGAAGTAAAAATTAATATCCCAAAGCATATTAATAATAATATAATATGTAGTAATAATATGATTGAAACAAAAACATATAAATTTTATGATAAACATGATATTGAAGAAAATGAATTTGATATATATGCATTAAATACATATAAAATGAAAGAACTTGAAAAAAAAAGAGTTTATACAAATAATAAATGTGAATTAAATGTTACAAATAAGAGTTTAATTATATGTAATTTATTAGGTGATAAATTAAAGGTATTAAATCCCCCAATAAATAAAAATTATTTAGAGATTTTAGAAGAAGCAAATGATTATTATATAGATCATGTAGATAAATATAAAAAAAAACTTGAAAACATTAGAAATAACATTGAAAATACTGATTATACTTTTTATTCATTAAAATCAGATGTTATCTTGAGTAATGAAACTGAAAAAACATTCAATAATTATTTTAATTTGATATATAACAAAGAAAATACATATGTTTCTTCAAAAAAAAATAATGATATTGACAGTAATAACTTAAATAATAACAACATAAATACTTACGTTTTTTTAAATAAAAACGAATGCATAAATTCGTGTAATAATAATTTTTATAATAAAAAATGCGGTTTCAAAAATATAGATAATAATATTTTAAATAACAGTATTCATATAGGTAATAACATTAATATACAAAGAAATTATAATAATAGAAAAAATTATAGTAGTAATAATATCGAATATAATAATGACATAAAAAAAAACAGTGGAAATTTAAATAATAGTAATTATTATTTTATAAGGAGTTTTAATGGTATAATTAATATTTGTAAAAATTATGAAAAAGTTAACGATAATAAATATTACAATAATTTTGTCTATAATAATGACAAAAAGATAACATACCTAATTGAAAAAAGTAAGGAGATTAACAAAAATTTAAACATTTTACAAAATGAAGTTCCTTTAGTTGAAAATTTAAACGCATTAAATGATAATATTGCAAATGAGAAAAATTGTATAAAAAAAAAAGTAAACACAAGTAGTGATAAAATTATTCTTTATAAAGAATATTGGGATAGTTATATTAATAAAAGGAATGATCTAGATCATCACAATAAAAAAAGTCATAATATTAATTATAACAGTAGTAATAACATAAGTCACAATATAAATAATAGTTTATATTTTACAGAATTAATTAAAAAAAAAAGTGATGATTCATATAATGAGAGTATGAATAATAGAGGAGATATTAACAAAAATAATAATTATAGTTGTTGTAATGCTAATGATCTTGATGATAAAATTAGTATTGATATTGACAAAAAAGTTTGTAATAGTAAAATTAAATTCAATGAAAATAGTTACATTAATAAGAATACTAGAAAATTTAGTTCCCATTCAAACTCAGTTAATGATTATAAGCTTTTTTCAAGAAAATGTTCAGAAAAGGATGAAAAAGAAGATTCACATACAAATATAAATTGTAAAAATATTAGTAGTAGAAAAATAAATAATAATAATGATAATAATAATGATAATAATGATAATAATGATAATAATAATGATAATAATGATAATAATAATAATAATAATAATAATAATAATAATAATAATAATAATAACAACAATAATAATAATAATAACAACAACAACAACAACAACAACAATAATAATAATAATAATAATAATAATAATAATAATAATAATAATAATAATAATAATAATAATAATAATAATGATAATAATAACAATAATAATAATAATAATAATAATAACAATAATAATAATAATAATAATAACAATAATAATAATAATAATAATAATGATAATAATGATAATGATAATGATAATAATAATGATAATAATGATAATGATAATGATAATGATAATAATAATGATAATAATGATAATGATAACGATAATGATAATGATAATAATAATGATAATGATAATAATAATGATAATAATAATGATAATGATAACGATAATGATAATGATAATGATAATAATAATGATAATAATAATGATAATAATAATGATAATAATGATAATGATAATAATAATGATAATAATGATAATGAAAATAACTTTTATAAAAGGAAAAACGTTACTATTTATAATAATAATAAAGGTTATAATTTTTATGAAAATTGTTTTAATTCAATAAAAAAAAAGGATAGCAATAATATTTATTACAATACATGTCTTAATGAGCAATTAACAAATCAGAAAAATATTCATAATAATGAAATTTCAGAAAATAATGTAAATAATATATATAAAGGAAATAAATATAATCATATTAATAATTCAGGTAGTACAAAGAATAAATTATTCTTAACTGAAGCTGACAAAGAAAACCATGAAAATAAAATTACAGAAAAAGATTCCTCTTTGAATAAAGATCATTATCAATTATTTAATTCATTGAACAGTAATAATTTTGAAATAAATAAAAATAACTTATTTTTAAATAATTTAAACAATAAAGATATATCTGATAGGTTCAAAGACAAAAATCTCAGTGATACTTTTAGTATAAATAATAGCGATGATCTTTCAAATAAGGTTCCTTCTTTGTTTGAAAATAATAATTTAAATGATTTAAATGTACAAAATTTTAATAGTAATTTACGCAACAACTATTTAACTAATGACACAACAGATAAACAGAATATTTTGAATATTAAAAATATAAATAATACCTATAATGAGAAAAATAGTATTAACTGCAGTAAATCTATTAATAATGATGATGATGATAATAATGAAAAATATTATAAAAACAAATATAACAGTGATAATTCCCTTTATTATAAAGAAGATAAAGATTCTGTAAATTATAGTGTTGCGAATAATTCTGATATTTTAAATATAGTAACAGATCAAATAGATGAAAATAATTCAAATATATATATTAATAATTTAAATAATACAATTTTTGTTGATGATAAAAATACAAACTATAATTTAAATGAGACTTATGATTATACACTTAATAGTGGAAACCTATTAAATTATTCAAATAATCATGAAAAGCAATTATCTAAAAATATTAAAAGAAAAACGAATAACGAATTAATATTTTTTAGAAAAGAAGAAGTTAAGAATTTGAATTTAAGTTCTTTTAATGAAAATAAAGAAATCAAAAATGAATATGATGAAGTCATGATTAATGAAAATGATAATTTAATGAATAAAGAAGAATGCAACACTATAAATAAAAAAAAAACTCATAATATGAATAAAGAAAATATTTCAAATTTTGATAATTCTGTTATTAACTATAATATCAATTTAAAAAAAAATGTTAATAATATAAAAAATAATACGGAATTATTAAACGAGACAAAAGAAAAAAAAAAAAACACCAAAAATCCTATTTTGAATAAAAATGATTTAAGTATAGAAAACGATGAAAACAATTTTTTTCATAATAGTAATAACATTGATGCTAATTTTCATTATGATATAAAATCAGATGAAATTAGCCCAGAAAAATCTAAAGGAGATAAAGCATCAATTAATAAAGACAGTCATAACTCTGTTAATTGTATGGAACCAAAAAATGATTACGTACAATTAGATAGCATAAATAGTGTAAAATATACAAATGAAAATACAAGTAATAGTAATTATGTATATAAAGATAACATAATGGAAAATGCAAATGCATATTTAACAAATTGTTCTAATGAACAAAAAGATGATAAATATAATGATGATACAAACTCAATATGTAATAAAAATATAGTAAAAAATGACTCATCAAATTTAATAGAAAATAACATATTTGAATATAACAAAAAAAATATTAATGTTGATTACAAATCTATATCAAATCATCAGAATAATACATTAAATGTAAATAAAGAAGATAAAAATTGTTTAAATGATGCAATCAGCAATAATGTTAATTTAGATATAACATCCAATGATAATAGAGGTAGTTGTATTTATAATAACAAATTAAGTTACGATATACAGTATAATTATTCGGAACAAAGTATTAACACTATTTATGATAAGAAAGATAATACATTAGAAGAATATGATTCATTAACAAACAAAAAAAAAAATGAAAAGCAAGGAAGAAAACAAAAACAAAGAAAAAAGCAAAAAAAAAACTCAATGAATGATACAGAAATAGATTATATAATCAATGAAGACAAAATAACGCAAGAAAAAAATGATGATTCATACGATAATGAAAATTTTGTTTCATCAATAAATGAAAAAAATAATGTTTCCTTATATAAATCAAATGATGAATTGCATGATTCTTTTTCAAAAAATAATATGAATTGTGATATATCTGATAAAAATGAGTTAAAACAAAAAGTATTATCAGTAGATGTTTCAAAAAATAAAGTAAATTTACCTAAAAAGGAAGATACAGATGGTATGGAATATTATAGAGATTACGAATCTTCTCAATGTATTAAAGGTGATGTATTAAAAAATGAAAAATTTCCATTTATATTTTACGATTCAAGTATTCGAAATTTAGTAGTTTATTATAAGGAAGATTATAATGAAGAAATAAAAAGTAAATATTTTTCAGCTCAAAGATTTGGTCATGCAACAGCTAAAAAAATTGCTTTAAATTTTTTAAGATCTTTAGGAATTAATGTTGATTATATGGAAAATAATAATATATTTTCATATGAAAAAGATACTAAAAGCAAATTGTATAATATAGGAAAAGTGAAAACACATATAAATAAAGAAGAAAATTCAGATATTAATTTAACTTACGATAAAAAAAAAAGAAATGTTATTGTTTCATGGATAAATAAGTATAAAGGTTATAATTTTAGGAAATTTTCAACACAAAGATTTGGTTTTGATGTTGCTTTATGCTTATCTATTGATTTTTATAGAAACTTAGGTGGATTAAAAGAAGAAGAAGAATTGAGAAATTATATTAATGAAGTTAATAATAATTTTAGAAACAATAGAAATTCAGCAAATAAAAAGAAGAAAAAAATTATAAATGATAACATAAATGAAAATAAAAATTATATAGATAATATGTCAGTAAATAATGATAAAAATGTATGTGATAACACATCCGTTTTTTTTGTAAATAATATAAAACATAATATAGAGAACATTAAAAAACAAAACATTATGGATACTAATATTAATAGTGATTTTCATAAATATTCTAATTTATTTTATACAGAAGATAATTTTTGTCATATATTAGAGTATAAATTAAAAAAATTTAAAGATTATTTCAATAATGATAATGTAAAAATAAATAAAATATACCAATATGATTTTTTTTTAAATAAAACCTTTTATTTTTTATACTTAAAATATCTGGAAAATGTTAAATCCTTATTAAATGATGAAAATTTTCAAAATTTCACAAAAATATGTGAAGACATTAAAACTTATAACATTAATTCTTATGAAAAGATAAAAGATAAAATTACGGAATTTTATAGGAATAAAAAAAGTTTAAACTATTTTAAAATTATTGATAGCTATTGTGATAATGATATTCATAAGAATTTTAATAGTAGTACTGTTAATTATTTTGTTAGTAAAATGGATTATTATAGAGACGAAGATATTTTGATGAAAGGTTATTATACGTGTGATGATTCCAAGATATATGAAATTCTATTTTTAACGAATGATCATAAAAATATCATAGATCCTTATAATATTAATTCAAATAAGAATAAAGTAGAAATTAACAATAATAACAGCAACAAAAGAATAACAAGAAATATAAATAATGAAAAAAAAAGAAATTTTCAAGAATTCCATTTCTATTATAGTAATAAAAGAAAAAAGAAATATGATGATGATAATAATGATGAAGACGATGATGATGAAATTTGGGATTATAATGAAAAAAAAAAATCAAAAAAAAGAAAAAAAAATTCATCGAAATACAGAAAAAGGAATAAGAATAAAACAAAAACTAGAAATAGCTTAATATCAAAAAATAATAATATTATAAATAATAAAAAAAATGAAAGCAGTTATATGGAGCAAAAATTAGAAAATAAATTGCTAATTAAAAATGAAAATTTATCATTAGCAAAAAATAAGAAGTTTTTATCAACTAGCAAAAATATAAACAATTTACTTATGAAAGGGAAAAAGTATATTTTATGTTATAATTATATGGGTAAAATTCAAGTTAAAGTATTTAGTGCCGATATATATGGTATTGTAACAGCTCAAAAAAAATCAGTTGTATTTTTACAACAAGTTAAAAAAGAACTTAAAACTGATGGTAAAATTTTATATAGTGATTATGATAATAAAATTGCTTTTGATGTAACAAATTCTTTAATAGAAAATGTTTTATTAAATTCTTCCGAGCAAGATAATTACTCATTGAATGATTGTGAATATGTAAGTTTACCTTCTAATAATAATAATGGAAAATATCAAAGAAAAAGAAGAAGAAATGTAGTAGAAGAAGATTATGAAAAAGAAGAAGAACAAGAAGAAGAAAAAAAAAAAGTAAATGAAGAAGAGGCAACAAATAAAAAGGAAGATAAAGAAAATGAAGAAGGAACAATTAAGGAGAAAACACAGAAAATACTTTATGGAAATAATAAAATTGAAAAAGGAAAAAAAGAAATGATGAATATATTAAATAGTAAATTTAACGAAGTTAATGCAAGAATCAATGATAATGATTCCAATACTTATAATCAAAATGACTTAAAAGAAAATACTTTTATAAATAATAAAATGAGTGACTATAATGATTATCAAAACGTACATTATTTTTATGGAAAAGAAGAAAGTAATGAAAAAAAAATAATAAACGAAAATTCTTATGATGAAAAAATGGTTATGAATAATATTCATGTTAGTGGTAATGAAAATTCGGAAAACTCAGTAAAAAATTATTCAGAAAATGACAAATTTTATGATATAAATGATATAGAAAATAAAGATTATAATACAATAAATGATAGATATAAGAATTATCTCGCGAATAAATCCTTCAACAATTATTTAAATAATAACTTAATGGAAATAAAAAGTTATGAAGATAATACTTCAAATAATGAAATGACAAGATATAATAATAGAAATAATAATGAATATATGAAAAATATACCATATGAAAATAATATGGAAGAAGATACTAATGTAATAGAAGATGACAATAGATATTCATTAATTAACAAAAAAGAAAAAAAGAGTAACAATACTAAAATTGAAAATTTAGAAGAAAAAGAAAAGAAAATCGTAAGTGCAAACGAAAATGAGGTGAATTTTTTTAATCAAAATAATTTTTCTATGTACAACAATCCTAATGTAAAAAATGTATTTTTAGTCGATGAAGAAAAAAATGCAATACAAAATGTTAAACAGAAAGCTAGTGATTCAAATAGTTATAATAAACTAAATAGCGAAAAAAAAATAGTTAAGGGATTTTTGACTTTAAGAAAAGAAAAAAGTATATTTTCAAATGTAAAAAGAGTTTATTCATTATATGATTTATACAATAAAATTATTAACGATAGTGATTATTCTGATTTTCTATCACAAAACAATAATCAAAAACTTTCGAAAAGTAAAAAAGATCAACAGACTGATAATATATTAAATAAAAACTCATCTACCAGAAGCAGTAGAACAGCAAATACAAAAAGAATTATAGAAAATGAAAAATCAAATAAAAACGAAAAAATAAATGAAATGGAAAATAAAAATCAAAATATGTATGAAAATAGAAGGGGAACAGAAAGTGAGATAGAAAATGAAAATAAAACCATTGAAAAAGAAGAATTATCTTTTAATTTAAGAACAAAAGAATCAAACAGAAATAATACTATATATAAAATATACAATGTAAAAAATGATTGGAGTGGATTAGTTAAATACAATACATCAAAAGGAATAGTTAAAATACCTAAAATATGTGTTCATAAATTAGCTAGAAAAAAAGGTTATATGAAATTGACTTGCATAATTTATAGAGGAAAAGGAGAATTTGTCTCTTATTTTTTGCAAAGATCAAATAAAAAAATGAATAGTAGAAACTCCATAAAAAATGATAATAATGATAATTCTACAAACTCATATGCATATTTTAACAGTAATGAAAAAGGTAGTTACACTAGATTAAACAATTATCAATGCAATTCCTTGTCTAAAGAAAAAGGTATACAAGAAAATAGAAAATATTTTTTAAGAGAAAAACAAAATAACATCTTCGCAGAAAATATTTTATGTTAAAAATGGAAATTTTTCTCTTTTAAAAAAAAAAAAAAAAAAAAAAAAAAGAAAAACAGATATACAGATATACAGATATACAGAGGTTATAACGAAAATTTTTTAATTTTTAAATTTCAAATTTTGGGTGATTTTATTGTATATTATTTAATTTTTTTTTTTTTTTTTAAATTATTTTTTCTTGACATAATTTAATTTTTAATAATTTCTTTTTATTTTTTTTTTATTTCATTTATATTAATTATATTCTATTTAATATGCAAATAAAAATTTATTGTAGGTTAATAAAATGAAAAAGATGAAAAATTTTATAAAAAGGTAGAGTCAATATATTTCAAGTTGAATTCTTAAAAATACTAAAGCTTTAATTTTATTTAAGCTTATTTTATTTTATATATATGTTTTTATCATTTTATTTTGTCTTGTTTTTTGGTACATAATTTATACTGAGGAAGAATAATATAAAAAAAAAAAAAAAATAATAAAAAATAATGAAACAAGGATTATGAAAAAATAAATTTATTATATGTAAAATTTTTATTTTTTATATATGAAAAATACATTTATATAAAAATATATTTTAAGAAAAATATTAAGTATAAATTATATATATCTATTGTTTTTTTTTTTTTTTTTTTCATTATACATATAATATTTATATTTACGTTTTCCTAAGTGGCAACTTTTTTTTTCTTTAATTTGTTCATTATTTTTATCAAGTCCTTTAATTTTTATTATTTTATTTTATTATCTATCACATTTTTAATTATTTTATTTATCCTCTTTTTTTTTCCAGTTTTTTTAAAAATTTCAACATTTATTTAAATATTTTTGCAAATGTATTACTTTTTAATTATTTATTAATGGCATATATTTTATTTATTTGTTTTATAAGTTGTCAGTTTTTGCTTTTATTTTTTTAGCTTACTACATTTTAGTTTTTGTTTTTTTAACATAAAATTTTTTTTTCTTATAGTTTTTATATCATATTATTTAATATATAAAAATTTATGTTAAGATATTTTCACCCAAACTTCATCAGAATTATATATTGTATTTTATGAGAAATTCCTAGAAATACATAAATATATTTTGTTATTTTATCTTTTTCTTCTTTATAGAAAGAATTAATGAATTCATAACAATATTTCTCACTATTAAGTATTAGTTAATTAGGAAATTTTTTTTATTAATAATTTATATATATAATAAATGAAATAATGTGTAACCATAATATATAAATAATTAGTATTTAAATGTTAAAATTTTATTGATATTTTATTTTTTTAAATGATTAAAAAATAATTGTGAAATTAAGACAAAATGTTATATGTCAATATGTAGCATTCATTAATAAAAAAAAAAAAAAAGTTAAAATTTTTTTTTTATATTAAGTATCCAATATATTTATTAAACTTTAAAAAAAAAAAAAAAAAGATATATATATATATATATTTGAATTTAATAGTAATATAATTTTTTCATTTTAGAAGTTTTCATTTTTTTTTTATATGAAACATTTTAATTAATCGTGTTTTGTTTATCTATATATATATATATATATATATATATATATATATATATATATATATATATATATATATGTTTTTATCTAATAATTGTGTTCATACTAAAAAAAACAGGGTTTAAAATAAAAAAATTCATGAGGTAAATTAAAAGCTTTTCATAAATATGAAATTTATATGTATATAAATATCATTTTATTTTAAAAAAAAAAAAAAAAACAAATACATATATATAAAAATTTAGGAAAAAAAGCTTTTAGAAACTAATACTAGCACCTTCTGTATTTCCTCTACACACAAACATATCTTTCTTCATGGTTTTAACCATTAATGAACTTGATCCTTTAGGTAAAATACTAACAGCATCAACTTCATGAGCAAAAAAACTAGTTCCTACTTTAACTGATAAAACCTACAAATATTTATTTAAAAAAAAATATTAGGATGTATATATAAAAAAAAAAAAAAAAAAAAAAACCATAATATATATACTCAATTTTACAATGATATATTTTAATTTTGAAATTCATAAATATGTAAACTAATATCTAAAAAAAATTCCCAATAATGTAATAAAATTATTGGTATTTACGTATTGTGATTAAATAGTTTTAATTCTTAAAACTTACATTATTTTCTTTTAAAAAATAAATATCAACTTTTATAGGAGATGATTCATCTAAATGTGTTAATAAATTTACCTCTCCCTTTATATCTCTTGCTTCTTTAATAAATTGGCATAACCCCGAATAAAATAATTTTTTATCAGACTAAAATTAGAAAAAAAAATGGAGCAAAAATAAAATAAAGGATAAAATATACATATTCAATTTTTAATATTTAATTTTCTTTTTTTTTTAATATTACTTGTAAATTTCTAATTAATTCTGATTTCCCATTATGATTAGTAAATTTAAATTCAGGTACAGGTTTTGTTGGTTTTATAAACATCAAAGCATTTTCCACCCTCTCCCTCTTCCATACAATAAATAACGATCCATTTGAAGCACTATCAAAAATTAAATAAGCTCCCTTTTCATCTGCCATTGACATAAAATTAAATTAAAAATATATTAATAACTTCTTTTTATATTTACTTTTAATAAAATTACTCTTTTTTTCTTTTTTCAAATTATAAATAATTATATACAATAAATGTAAACTATTAAACTTTTTTACCAATATAAATATAACTATTTAAAAATATAAAATAATTAAAAAAATATTTTTATTTAAATTATAACTTTTTAAGACTAAACAGACAAATTTATAAAAAAAATTTAATAAAATAAAATGCATGTTATAAGTTGGAAAATAGAATTTTCCTACAACAGTTTTTTTTAATAAAATGAAAATCACTAATAGATAAAGCACATTTAAAATTATAAAAAAAATATAAATAATTTCATAACTCACTAATTTAGATCGGAGATAAATAAAAAATTATTATATATGTAAATTTATATAGATTTTATAAAATCATATTAAGAATTAAATATATAAATAAAAAAAGTACATCTTAAAATTTTGACAATGTTGCAAAAAGAATTTTGCATGTTTTTAACTAATATCAGCACTAAGTTTTCATTTATGCAAAAACTAAAAATCTTATTAATTACATTTTTATGGAGTAATTATTTTTAAAGCTATAAATTATATATCTCTTATAGATTAAATTAGAGAATTTCTTATAAATATATATATATATAAATTTAATTACTCATATATGTTTAGATTTTTATAAATAAGTATACATAAATTAATTAATTAATTATTTATTTTTTTTTTTTTTTAATAATTATCTGTATATTTTATTTTAATTTATAATATTTTATACCATTTTCCTTTGCAACAGGAGTCGTTTCTAAAAAAAATATTAGATGAATAAAGAATTTATATTATAAAATTATATAATTAATTTTCTTTAATTTTTTTATTAATTCTAAAAATGAAAGACAAAAAATATATATGTAAAATATATAAATATATATTTATATATTTTATTTTTTAAAAAATTTATTGTTCTATACCTTTTACTTGATTTATTGTGTTCTTACAGCATATTTCCATTTTGATGCATTACTAATATAAAAGGAAAAAGAAATATAATATTAAGTTAAGAAAATAATTTTTACTAATTCTGTTTTCTTTACTTCATACTTTTTATTAATTTATTATTTTTATTTTTAAATAGAATTTAGAAACATAAAAAAATATTGGTATTAAATAAAAAAATGTGTCAATACCACAAGAGCGTAGTTACTAATAATATTAAAATAATGGATAAAAAATATGAAAAAAAAATTTTCCTTAAGCTGTTTTATAAAAAAAAAAAAATTTTAAATGTTTTAACATTTTGTATTTATTTCATTTTTTTTTTTTTTTTTTTTTTTTCTTTTATCTTATATTAGAATATTTATACAAAAGAAAAAAAAAAAAAAGGAAAAAGGTGTGCAAATATATAGTTCACATGGCTGAGAAAAAATTGTTCAAAATTTTTTTTGTTTCGTTCTTTTTTTTTTCTTTTTATTCTAATAAAAATTTTTTGTATAATTAAAAAAAAAAATTACAAGAAAAGAAATTATTTTTATATAATTTATTCATTATTTATTATAATTCTTTGTAATTTAGAAAGTAATATTAACAGAATAACCTTCCTTAAAATATATATGAATTATAAAGTTTATACAAAACTTTTGCAGTTTCTTTTTAACCTTTTATGATTAACCCTTTAATTTTTTTTTTAACATCACGAATTGTAATAGAAAAATTATATTTAATTATATGTATATATATTTATTTAAATAATTCTAATTAGTTTAATATTACAAAGTTTTATATAAATAACTAAAAGAATTACACGTATAAATAATTAAAAAAATAAAAAATATTTAAAAAAGTTTAAAGTAATTTATAAAGCAATAATATATTTTTCTTAATATAAAATTAAAAGAATTTTCCAATAACCTTAAAAATAAAAAAAAAAAAAAGCGATTTACTGAAAACATTAATTTTTCGTTCAAGCAAAATTTTTTAAAAAATATTTTTTTTTTTTTTTTTTTTTTTTTTTACTTAAAAATAATTTCAAAAAGATTAAAAGGAAACATAAACGAATTATTTTTTTTTTCTTTTTTTTTTTTTTTTTTTTCTTTATTTTATTTTTTTTTTTTTTTTTAA